AGCTCTTGTTCCCAGCTCAGGTGGTAGCTAGGGGATTTCTCATGATGGCTCCCCTCTTTGTTCTGTTTCACCCATTTATATATCTTTTAAATAAGGCGGGAATCCTTTGTCCCTCTGGGTTCCCAACCCCCCCCCCCCCAATGAAAAAGCACAAGGTTAAAGATGGATTTCAGTTTAGGTGACTTGATCACATGACACTGTAAGACCTTCATGTCACCCAAGCCTTCATTTCTCCCAGCCTGACTCACAGGAAGGCTTGCCTGCAAACAGAGCAATCCACAGTCAATTGTCCTGGTTGATGGGAGCCATCAAAATTTCAAACCACCATTAATGCCCCACACTTTGCATAATTACAATAGGCCCTCAGAGTTATATTTCATATTTCTAGTTTCAGATACAAGAATGATACATTTATACAAATAGAATGACCACACTCAATAGATTATAAGCTTTGTAATAATACCTTACAAGAGACCTTTTCATGAAGCATATTTTAGTTGCATTATATTTACTTATTAGCATATTTTTATAAAATCATATAGAGTGCAACGTCACAGACCACCCTTCTCATTCCCTGGACCTCGGATCTCCACTATGCCTTCCCACCCATTCCCCTCCTTCCCCAAGTCCTGCGCAAAGTGCGGAAGGACTGAGTGACGGTTATCCTCGTAGCTCTCTCCCGACTTCACCAGTATTGATAAACCAATCTGTGCTTGCCCTCCAATTCCTCTTCTGACCGTCCCGGGTCTCCTAATGCAGGTGCGTGGCTGGCTGCAGCACTCCAATCCGAGCCCTCTGCACCTCACGGCCTGGTATTTGGATGGGGCTCGCGTGTAGACCGGGCTTGTTCCGACTCCATCCAAGACATCCTCACTCATAGCAGGTACCAATCCAGTTGAATCTGCTATCAAGCTAAGTGGCACCGCTTTACCGCATGGGCACAGTGCCATCACTTCTCTCCAGACTCTGTCTCCTTTCCTGTCCTTCTGGACTACCTCCATCATCTCTGCCAATCAGGCCTTGCTCGCTCCTCCGTCTGCATCCACCTGGAGGCACTCAGTGCCTTTCTTCATCCTGTGGATGGCTTCTCCGTCTTCACCCATCTGATGACCTCCCGCTTCCTCTGCAGCCTTCTCAATGCTTTCCCCCCCCACTACGAAGGCCTATCTCCTCTTCGGTTCAGAATCTGGTTCTCTCTGTGCTCACCAAGCCACCCTTCGAACCCCTCGCCACTTGCTCCCTCTCCAATGCCGAGCATTAGCTTTTTATCTCCACCACACACGTGACTTCCAAGTGGTCCCCGTCGGGCAGCTACTTGGTCCTCTGTCCACACCTTTTCCTCTCACTATGCCATTGCCCCCTCGACGGTGACAGATGCAGCAGCTGGTCACGCTGTCCTACTGACTTGGTCTTCTTGAGAGCCCTTGTGCCCGCTTCCATACTGACCACTGCTCGCTACTCTCCCGCGTTTGGAATCCTGACATAGGGACCATCACTTGAAGAAGAAGAGAAGGTTATTTACTGTAACTGGAGGTTCTTCGAGATGTGCGGTCCCTATTTGGATTCCAATTCCGCTCTTCTTCTCCTATGCTCCGGGCTCCATTTGCTTCCTGGGAGGGGTGTCGGCTGGCACAGCCTCTTAAAGCCTCGAATGTGACATGCAGTTGATGCATGTGCGGGTCAACAGATACTACTATGAACAGTTCCGGCTCCAGCGCATGGCGCGCATGCTCACCCGTGTTTGGAATCCAGGTAGGGACCACCTGTCTCAAAGAACCTCCAGTTACAGTAAATAACTTTGTCTCATACTTAATCCCATCCTTTGTGAGGTTAAAAGCCAGACAATTACATGCCTTCATATGTTGGCAGCACAAAAGATATCTGCTCTTTATAGTTTATTTTAATCCCTTTTGGAACAAGAGAATAAATGTTAATAAACATTGTCTATTAGCATTCTTAGGGAGTAGTTCCCATTACAGGAACTAGCACTGGGGACGGGGAGCATAAAGTAGTAACTGTTTAATAGTAACAATTTATAATTACTCTCTCCTATGTCACAAATTAAAGGTACTGCTTTGACTGGTGTCTGTGGGGAAGGGATGGTAGTGGAACAAGAGGACAGAAACTATCGTTTAAAATACTTTCAAGTGTATTATAACTAGGGCCCTACCAAATTCGTGGCCATGAAAAACGTGTCACAGACGGTGAAATCTGGTCTCCCCCCGTGAAATCTGGTCTTTAGTATGCTTTTACCCTATACTGTACAGATTTCCACAGTGAAGACCAGCATTTCTCAAATTGAGGGGCCTGACCCAAAAGGGAGTTGTAAGGGGGGGTCACAAGGTTATTTTAGGGGGCGGGGGTCACAGTATTGCCACCCTTACTTCTCTGCTGCCTTCAGATCTGGTCAGCTGGAGAGCGGTGGCTGTTAGCCAGGCACCCAGCTCTGAAGGTGGCACCCTGCCAGCAGCAGCACAAAAGTAAGGGGGACAGTACCATACCAGGCCACCCTTACTTCTGCGCTGCTGCCTTCAGAGCTGGGTGGCTGGATAGTGGCAGCTTCTGCCTGAGGGCCAGGCAGCAGCACAGAAGTAAGGGTGGCAATACCATACCATGCCATCCTTACTTCTGCGCTGCTGCTGGCGGTGGCTCTGCCTTCAACACTGGGCTCCCAGCCAGCAGCTGCCACTCTCCAGCTGCCCAACTCTGAAGTAGTGCCACTGCCAGCAGCAGCGCAGACGTAAGGTTAACAGTACCGCAACGCCCCCCCCCTGCAATAACCTTGCAACCCCCCCCCACAACTCCTTTATTGTTCAGGAGCCCTAAAATCAGGGGCGGTTCCAGGCATCAGCGCACCAAGCACGTGCCTGGGGCAGCAAGCAGCGGGGGGCGGCCTGCCGGTCGCTGTGAGGGAGGCAGACAGGCGGCCTTCGGCGGTGTGCCTGCGGGAGGTCCGCCAGTCCCGCGGCTTCAATGGCACTTTGGCGGCAGGTACGCCAAAGGCGCGGGACCAGCAGATCACCCACAGAAACGCCGCCGAATCCGCGTGCCGCCGACTGCCCACAGGCATGCCGCCGAAGGCCGCCTGACTGTCGTGCTTGGGGTGGCAAAAAACATAGAGCCGCCCCTGCCTATTACTTACAAATTAATAGCTGACATAATGAAATTTACGATTTTTTAAAAATCTTATGACTGAATTTGGTAGGGCCCTAACTATAACACTCCATCTAAGGTAACAGCGCTCAGCTGCCTGGTAGCTCTTATTACTTATGTTATTCAGATAGTAGTTCCCAGTAATAATACTCAACAGTCACATAGCCCTTTACCATGCTCAAACCATTGAGGAAAACCTGGATTAAAATGATTCTAGGAATGCTGGCTTTTTAATATAGGGCGGAAAGTTGGGTGTTTGGGTGTCTTTTAAAATTTGGGATTATAAATCCTGCATTCTGGCCTTCCAAGTAACCCAAAATAGATTTGGCGGCACCTAAGTGGTGGTTTGGGATTTTAGGCTCTGAAGTTTTCAAATTGTGTTTTCAGCACCAAAAACATTTAAGTATTTTTGATACTGAAAACCCAGTTTGCAACTGCACTTTTTACATGAGTAATGTTTGTTTTGGCCATTTTTAAGAGTGAAGTAAAACTATTCTTTTTAAAGAAATCGAAAAGCACTTTAGTGTAGTCCCAAAATGTACAGAGAGCAACCTGTTGATGTAGTCAAATTTGATGCAGGACACATCAAGGTCATTTAGTTTAAAGTAACCAGTGCAGAACCACACTACAAAGCGAAAGCATCTTTGAGCACCAGTCTCCATACTACAGTATTGATCCACTTTAGTGCAAAAAGCTTTGATGGGTTGAGGAAGAATGTGGTTTACAGCATTAGGACTGTGCAGTATCTCACTGTGGATTGCACTTAAACGTGCTTCTTTACATTTTTGAACTCGCTCACATTTTATCAGCTTCACAAAGGAGTAGTTCAGAAATAACTCCACTGTGGGCAGTGGCCTACTGCCCTAAAAGTAATCAATGGCTCTTGTTCGTTTTAGACGTGTTACACTGTTTGCAGTCGTGGTGTGCTTCCTTTATATCCTCAAGTTAAGTTTTGGCCCTGAAGAATGTGACACGAAGAAAATGCACTATGTGGACCCTGAACGTGTAAAGGTTTGCTATTCTTTATCTGTATCTAGCAAATGTTACTGATGTATTGTGTAGAGTTGAAAAGTTCACTGTAGGACCTGAAGTGATGGAGTTGTAGGCTGAAGTCCTGCAATGAAGGCAGATGAATTTACCTTTCTGTATGCTCCATTACCTGCACGGAGAGGCTGAGGTTTTCAATTCTTATGCTTGTGTAGGCAGTGAGACTTACACAGAGAAAATTATAGAGTTTTTTAGGAATAAAATTGAAGGAGGAAGAAAACAATTGTTTAACATTTGTCATCACAGATATGATACATAGTTCGAAAAAGTTTGACTGCATTAACACAGTGGAAGGTTGCAAGAAAAAAAAAAAGGACTTAGATATGTACGTAGAATTCTGTGGCCTGATTATTTTGCCAGGTGCATGCAAGGAATGCTTTTGACTGTGCTGGAAGTTGCAGAATGGGATGATTAGTCATACTTAAAAAACAGTTTCTGTAGTGCCACACTGGAGAGTGAGAAGGCTTGAGAGTTGTTCTAAAAACTGAAACATTATGCTTGCTATTACACTGTAACACAAAGGTGCTGATTCTCACCCTGTGTTGGGAAAGAAGGAAGAATTTGATATTCTAAATATCTGCTTAGAATTCTAAAACACCAGGGCCTGTTTAAACATTTTTTGGTACCTGTAGGGTCTGTTCTGCACATCTGTGGAGTTCTTGTAATTGCAATTAAAAAAAATCCTTCCCTTTTCCCATTCTCCTTTGTTCCCCTTTTTCTGTAATCTTAACATCAGGCTTGCATTTTTGACTCTCCCACATATATCACACAAACATATCTCTTTGTTTTCTACTTGCCTCTGTTCCTCCCACCTTTCCATTTTGTTCTTGTTTTTATGATAAATCCTCTAATTTGTTGAGGGGTGGTAAAATGGCGTCTTTGCCTTTGAACTGTGCTAAAGCTTCCTCCTTGTACCAGACCGCAATTTGTAGGTTCTACTCTCTAAAAATGTGCAGGAGGATCTTGTTTCAAAGAAACAGATCATCATTTATTTGGCAGCGGAAGATTCAGATGAAAGTTAGTACTGTAGGTTTTTATATTGGTACTTCATCTTCATTTTAAGGAGAACTTGAGACCCTCCACTTCTGGGTGAACATTTTAAGCATGGTTATAGTGGGATTTTTTTAAATGACCATAAACATCTAGACTAAAATCAGTTTGCAAGTCAAAATGCTGCAAGTCCTGTCTTGGATGTGACAGAGTTTTTCTTTCCAGTTTACGTGTCTCTGGTAGTACAGTTTCTGCAATCAAAATTTAGCTGACAAATTTGTTACTGATGGATGACCATCTTCCTTTCCCATAGCTGTATTGTCCATGAACAAAAATAACCAGTTATTGTTTGAAAATGTGCAGGAAGCAGACAGACTTTGTAAAAAGGTACCATTTTACATAGTAATTTTTCTGACTGCACCTGCACTCTAACTTACTCCTAAAGAAATCTTCCACCTGAAGGATGTAAAAGTTATCCTGAGTGCAGATTTCAGAGTATAACACCACAAACAGGTAGCTTCTTGTTTTAACTGACTAGTTTTAAATTTCCCACAGTTGGTGGTTCAGCTTGGTTTATCTTTCTAAAACCTACACCTGCTAATTTATGGATGTCTGTTGGCCTCCTGGGAGGTTGCTTCAGACAAGATATGCTATATTTGTAATACTGAAATGTACTAGCTTGTGTGACTTAAATTTCATATACCGTCTTGTTTCAGAGAGCACAAAAATATGCCAAACTCATACAGCAAGGAGAATGTCGACCTTCTTTTGTGAAGAAGGAGATGAACAGATTATTTGCTGAGAAGTACAGCGCGAACATATTTCCCTTTGTAACGGAAGATATATTCAGGCATGAAGATGTGTTTAAATACAAACCTCCGTTTGGATTTCACAAGAACTCTCATAAACTTCAGAACCTCTTAAAACTCTTACCTGAGCATGACTTGCCAGAGAACTTGAAATCAAAACACTGTAAGCGTTGTGTTGTTGTAGGAAGTGGTGGAATACTTCATGGATTGGAGCTAGGCCATGTGCTGAATGAGTTTGATATTGTTATAAGGTGCATATTTCTCTTCTGTCTAACGTTACAAAGTAATTTAACATTTGTGTTGTTTGCAAACAGCCTCTCTTTTTGGGAGGGGAAAGGGAAGTCTCAAACTCCATTTATTACTTCATTTATGAAACTGAAAGTACTTTATTAATATTACTTGTCTTTACAATATTCAAAATATGGTGAATCAGATACACTTACTCAAATTCAGACGGCAGGAACCAGGAATCTGTCATTATTTCAGTGTGCTCTAGACCAGTGGTTCTCAACCTTTTTTGGACCAGGACCCATTTGTAAACATTGATGGCCAGTCCCACTCCAGTAAATAGAAAGTAGAAAACACACGTATTTTGCCTCCAAAATACTTATCACGCACTCTGTGTAGCAGTAACAACAATAATAATAACGATAATAGTAATAATAAGTGAAAGCAGCTCAATATCGAGAAAGCTAAAGGCAGAAATCAACATTAACAGGAACACATTAACGGTATAATAAATCCTAGGTTCCACTTAATGAGAAACCTGCGCTTGCTTCTCTTTGACATGTTTATCAAAGTTGGGTGTAATTTTAGTCAGCACAATCTGAAGGTTGTGTTCAACATCCGGTCTACTCCTACTTTTATTCTTCAGTTGAGTCAAAGCAGAGAATCCAGTTCTGCACAACTGTGTTGTACTGAAAGGCAAAATGACACTGATTGCGTGGCAAACAAGAGCAGGACATTCTCCAGCAGCAGCACTGTGCCAAAACTGGGGAATGCTCATTTCAGTGTATTTTCTCTCTAGGCTGCGAATGCAAGATCACTCGACCAGCTGAGATTCTTCCTCCTTAGGTAGAGTCGTGTTTTTCAACACAACTCCAAATGGATCCCGTATCCATTCTTTGCCCTTAAGTTGTTCGTCTGGAAAGTAATTGCAGAATCTTGTGTGCCATTTAGTTAAATGACTACTGATCGTTTTCTTCAGTGCTTCCTGGCTAGTGAAATCTTTCAGATTTTTTGTTTCTGGATATGTGTTACGAAACATGTCCATCCTATCATTTGAAACGTGTTCGTTCCACAGAGAGAGGGTTGGTTTTTTTTTAATGCAGCAATTTTGTCAGTTAGCTCAAAGCAGTTGTGCCCTCTGCCCTACAAAGACACATTCAAATCATTCAGGTGATCGAATATATCTGCCAGATATGCAGCACAAACAACCCATTTGTTGTTACTGAAGTGCTCTGCCAGGTGAGACTTTTTTTCTTCAAGAAAAGCTGCCAACTCATTTTTAAGTTTATATACATGAGACAACACTTTGCCATGGGACAGCCAGCAAACCTCAGCATGGTAAAGCAGATGTACATGTGTACTGCCCATTTTCTGACAGAAGACGTGAAAGCATCATGAATTCTTGGCATTTTGTTTGATGTAATTCACTATTTTTACAGCATTTTTAAGAGTTTCGTGAAGCTCAGGTGCCTTGTCTTTAGCTGCTAATGCCTCCCTGTGCAGGAAACAGTAGTTTCACGTTGCATTGGGTGCTTTCAAAAGGATTCTTAGAGCAACTACTGAATATTTCCGTCATCAGTTGTAACACCAACACACTTCGACCAGCTTAATCCTGCTGACTCCCAGTAATTATCCAGTGTAACAAATATATCAGCAGTAGTAGTAGAAATAGGCAAATCTACACTAACCAAGTACTGTTCTTGCAAATCACTTTTCCATGCATGCCTCACATAAACCAGCAAGATAGCATGGTTTGATACATCTATAGATTCATCTAATTGTAAAGCAAAACAGTCGCTTACTGAAAGACGATCAGTTGTTTGCAGTTTGGTGTATTCTGAGCTATATCACAGATTCTTCTCCATATTGTATTGTTGGAGAGAGAGAGATTGCTTTTAATTTTTTTTGCCACTGACTCGCCCAACAATTTAGTGCATATGTCGATAGCAGAAGGTAAAATTAACTCCTCAGCCACAGTGTGAGCTTTTTTGCAATGCGGTGTGCAACAAGGTCAGAGGCATGCAGTGTTTGCTCGCGGACAGTAAATACATGTTCATGTTTTTTTTGACATTTCCATTTGGCTTTTTCGTTTAAAAAAAATCAAGAGGCTTGTCTTTATAGCTAGACTGCTTTGTCTCCAAATGTCTACATAAATGTGATGGTTTTAGGCTTTAATTTGTTAACAGTTCACCGCAGATGACACACTCTGGCCTGTGTTCACCATTTCGGTCCACGGTAAATGAAAACCCAAACTTTAAGTAAGCAGGGTCGTACCTACAATTACTTTTCTTCTCAGGTTGTGATGAATTCCTACTATCGTTGGTACTTGCAGTTGCAACAGGACAGTTTAAAAATGTATCCATTTCACTAACTAAAGACTCACTTTGTGATTAAAACACATACTCTTCACTTGAAACTCTACTAAGCACTCTTTTCCCATAACTCTTCCCACCTTGCATTCGATTGGCTAATCGGTAAGGCTAGGTCATGGAGGTCACTGGTTCCGTGATTTTTATGTGACCTTCATGACTTCAGCCCTTGGTGGCGGGGCTCAAGGCTTGGGTGGCTGTGAACCTTTTGTACATTTGTGCGACCCACTTTTAGGTAGCAACTTGTGGGTTGAGAAACACTACTCTAGACACCAGATACCACACACTATGGATAATGAAAATAGTGAGTTAGAAATTACTGCAGTCATAGACAAAGCACAACGTACGCATGAAGTTGGTACTACATAAATTCCTAAAGTAAATAGATGTCTGATCATTCTAATGTAGGCTCTTGAAATTACCTGTGCCATCTTCTGGTTATCATGGGGAGTTGATCAATTATCTTGCTTTTCGAGTATTAAGTGTTCCAGGTGAAAAGGTAAGTGGATCTGTTAGTGTTAGAAAGTATTCTGTTTCAGAGTTGTGATACATAGCTTTATTTTCAATGCACCTGTTTCGTTGACACACTCTGGAAGACACATAGTATAACAGAAGCATAATAAACAGTCAATAAAAATGAAATAAACCACTGTCTTCTTTAAATGAAAAACAATTCTGAGGTTCCAATTAAAAGAAAGAAAAGAGAAAAGGTTTGGGAGTGATGAGATGGGCAAAGAATAATATGGGCTCGCTAGAGGTCATATTAAATACTCATTGGAATTAAAAGATGACAAGTGGAATGTAAAATATAGACTGCTTGCTCATTTTAGTGACAAAAGTAAGTCTTGACTGCTTTTTCCCCTCGTTAGCCCTGCAGAGATACTACTTTTCTTGTCACCAATAGATTTGCAAGACACTTAAAATTATGGACTGAATAGAGACACTAGATTTATGGCTTATTACAGCCATCTATAACCCACTAATAGCCCTCTTCCCAGCTGCTTCTCCTGCCTTTTCCTCCCTCTGACTGGAAAGGTGTTAACGGGCCACTTTGCCTTGAATAGTCCCTTGAAATATGTGTTAACTTCTTATGCTAAACTATCTGTTTCATCTTGCATTTAGCAGTGACACTCGGATGTTAAAGCTTTGTCTACACTGCACTTTCATTGGTAAAACTGGTCGTTCACGGGTGTGAAAAAACCAAACACCCGAGAATTACAAAAGTGTTACGGACAAAAAGTGCCAGTGTGGACAGTGCTACCGCCTCTCGTTGGGAGCAGATTTATTTTGTCGGCGGGAGAGCTCTCTCCCACTGACAAAGAGCGGCTACACTGCGCACCTTTTAGTGGCATGGCTGTAGTGGCCCAGCTGTGTTGCTAAAAGGCACATTTTGTAGACATAGCCTTAGTCTACACTACAGATTTAGGTCAACACATGGCAGCTTAAGTCAATGTAACTATAGAAATGTCTACACTTCAGTTTTGCTCCTGTCACTGTAACTGCCCTGCTACACTGACTTAACTCCACCTCCAGAGTGGCGTAGAGTCAAGGTCGATGTAGTTAGATTGAAGCAGTGTCAGTGTAGACACTGTTTTGTGTATGTTGACTGTTCCTGGCTTTCAGGAGCCATCCCACAATGCCCCACACTGACAGTACAATCGATACAAGCACTCCCCGTGAGGAGACACACTGCTGACACAAGGAGCAAAGTATAGATATACACAAGCAGTGTAACTAGTGCGGCAGCTGTTTGCCGACATACATTAGGTCAATTTAATTTTGTAGTGTACACATGGCCTGAGTTAATTTCCCAGACTTGCAGAAGAGCTCTGTTTAAACTTGAAAACTTGTCTCTCTCACCAACAGCTGGTATAATAAACGATAATACCTCATCCACCTTGTCGCCTAAATTCCAGTCAGTTAGAATTGTGAAGAGCCTTTTATTACTGGTGTTGATATGCAGGAAGCTTGCTGTTTGCCCCTCAGAGCCCTAGTTGAGTTATAGGGCAACAAGAAACATGAACACTGCAATAGTATTTGTACAGTTGCTTTTCAGAGCGAGACCACCCATTGAGGTTTGTTCTTGTTACCAGGGAACTAATTTATTGATGTATTCAAATAAAATTTGGTGTGCCAACTAAAACTTGTTACTTAGGTATTTAAAGTCACTTGTATGGTATTTTAATGACATCAGATACCATGTTTACTTATTGTGTTTTGTTTCACTTTTTTTAGATTAAATGATGCACCAGTTCAGGGCTACACAGATCATGTTGGTAACAAAACTACCATAAGGATGACCTATCCAGAGGGAGCCCCACTTTCTGAAAATGAATATAACCCTCAGAGCTTGTTTGTTGTTGTCTTATTTAAAAGTGTCGATTTCAATTGGCTTCAAGCAATGGTAAAAAATGAAGCATTGGTAGGTATAAACAGTTGACTTATTGCCTGCATATCTTGGTTTTCTGATGCACAGAAAACTGATTTTACTGTATTGAATTCTTCACAAGCAGTCAGGGTGAGTTGTTTTAAATCAGCAAGCAGGAAACTTTGATTTAAATATTCAGTTTTAATCCTGTTTTGCATTTGTACTTTTGAATGATTTTTCTAAAGAAAGGTTGATTCTCATTGGTTGGTATAACCTGGTACTACTTTTCGCTAACCAGGAGGGTACACAATATTTAATAGCACAGAGAGTACACTTATAAAGTTTGCGGATGATACCAAACTGGGATGGTTGCAAGTGCTTTGAAGGATAGGATTAAAATTCAAAATGATCTGGACAAACTGGAGAAATGATCTGAAGTAAATAGGATGAAATTCAATAAGGACAAATGCAAAGTACTCCACTTAAGAAGGAACAATCAGTTGCACGCATACAAAATGGAAAATGACTGCCTAGGAAGGAGTATTGCAGAAAGAAATTGGGGGTCATAGCAGGCGTGTTGTACGAGTAGTAATTCTTCCGCTCTGCTCCACGCTGAGTAGGCCTCAATTGGAGTATTGTGTCCAGTCCTGTGCACCACATTTCAGGAAGGATGTGGACAAATTGGAGAAAGCCTAGAGGAGAGCAACAAAACTGATAAAAGGTTTAGAAAACATGACCTGTGGGGGAAGATTGGAGAAATGGGGTTTGTTTAGTCTGGAAAAGAGAAGAGTGGCGGCGGGCGGGGGGGGAATAGGATAACAGTTTTCAAGTACGTAAAATGTTGTTATAAGGAGGCGGATGAAAATTTGTTCTCCTTAACCTCTGAGGATAGGGCAAGAAGCAATAGGCTTAAATTGCAGCAAGGGTAGTTTAGGTTGGACATTAGGAAACACTTCCAAACTGTCGGTGGTTAAGCACTGGAATAAATTGCCCAGGGATGTTGTGGAATCTCCATCATTGGAGATTTTTAAGAGCTGGTTGGACAAACACCTGTCAGGGATGGTCTAGAACAGGGATTGGCAACCTTTGGTATGCGGCTCGCCAGGGTAAGCACCCTGGCGGGCCAGGCCGGTTTGTTTACCTGCTGCGTCCGCAGGTTTGGCCGATCGCGGCTCCCACTGGCCGCGGTTCGCCGCTCCAGGCCAATGGGGGCTGCGGGAAGTGGCGCGGGCCGAGGGATGTGCTGGCCGCTGCTTCCCGCCACTCCCATTGGCCTGGAGAGGTGAACCGCGGCCAATGGGAGCCGCAATCGGCCGAACCTGTGGATGCGGCAGGTAAACAAACCGGCTCGGCCCGCCAGGGGGCTTACCCTGGCTGGCCGTGGGCCAAAGGTTGCCGATCCCTGGTCTAGACAATACTTAGTCCTGCTATGAGTGCAGGGGACTGGACTAGATGACTTCTCGAGGTCCTTTCCAGTCCTATGTTTCTATGACTTTTTTAGCAGTGACTTTTCTAGCTGCATTATATAGGAGATAGTATGGCTTAGTGGCTAGAGAACTGAACTGGGACTCAGGAGATGTGGGTTTAATTCCTGGCTCTTCCACTGGCCTGTGTGACCTGGATAGGTCACTTCTCCATGTCCCTTAATTTTCGCATTTATAAAATAGGGATGATAATACTGTGACCTCTTTTGTAAAGTGTTTTGAGATATAAAAGAAGAGAAGCTCTATATAAGGACTAAGTGGTTGTCATATTATTATTGGTATATTATTTGGATGGAAACAGTTTGTGCACATAAAAATGCACAAAAAATAGCATTTTAAAATTTTTTGTTAAAACTACCTTAAATATGCTAGATACATAAGAAAAAAAAGTATATCAAAATTTTTTGCGCTTAAAACCAATTGATTTATTAAACAACGAAAGCATTATCTGTAGTTAATTGAACTGATTTCTTTCTGGTTGTCATGTCCATCAAGATTTTATAACTGGTAGATCTCATCCTGTCCCCTATCCTGTCCCCTTGTGCTTATTGATAGATTAAAAGAGGAAAACAAGTTTTCTGCTTTTTAAGCTTCCAGCTGGTTTCACAACTTTGAATGAATTAATCATTGTACTGAACTACTTGAATAAACTGAAATGAAGAAAATATTTTATTTGCACCTGCAGTAGAGGCTAGATCTGTCAAAAGCTGGTGTAACACTTCAACAAACTCTGGTTCTAGGTTCATAGCCAATGAGTTCAATTAGTTCAGTGATTTAACTTTTCTGGCAGCAAACATATACTGTTTGAATATTATTTTGATATTTAAATTATTGTAATATATTTTAATAAATTTAGGCCTTAACATAGCATCATTTCAAATTTAATTTGAAATATATCTTCTAAAAAAAATTGAATTAAAATAAATCGAATTTTTGTGCTTTTTTTATCCACCTTGCAAGCAATCTATTTGTTGCAGTACTTCTAGTTATTGTTCATGTTAGTACATCCATGTAGTACTGTATGCTCACACTGATGCCTTTCATCCAAGTGTCTTGATCCTTTACATGAACTAAACATCAAAATACCTTATGTGCTCAGTGAAGTATAGTTCATTTTGTATTTGGGTTAAGTGACTTGGTTAAGGTTTTAGAGGCAGGAACAGAAAACAAGTGTTCTGACTGCCAGTCCCCTTCCTTAACCGCTATACCACATCATGCTCGTGTAGGGGTGTTTGTGTTATGTGTAATAGATATAATTAAATAAAAATGTCACTAGTTGGTATTAGCTGGCATTGGTTACTGCCTTTCAATTTCTGTATGAAGATTCATTCGTTGCTTAATGTATATTTAAAGAAATAGATCTATGTGCAAGAGACACCTGAAGTATTGTATTTTATTGATTAGAGTTATTATGCAAACATGAAATGCCATAAATTATTCAATAGTGATATATTTAATAGAAAATCTGTCACAATATTTAGCTGTTTGTGCACATAATATTATATTATAGATAAAGCAAAGGAAGGTTAAATTCTATGGTTTTGCAACCTGAACTAGTTTATGTAAGGCTTTTAGACTTGCAGAATTGACCACGACTACCTATGACTTTGCGCATGCATTTAGGTAGAATATACTGTTTTATTACAGTGCTCGGCATTATATGTTCTGCTTTATATATAATATATATAAAAAATGCTTTATATATAATACAAGGGACACTAATGAAGAAATTATCCTTTGAATTTAAATATTGGTGATATCACACTGAGTGATTATTGATTTTTAGAGTTAACAGGCAAACGTATTACATTTGTGGAACTTTGAGGAACTATCACTGAGTGATCTATTGGGCCCAAGCAATGTGTGGTTTTATAGAACACAAGCACACCTTTCAGAAAAAATTGCACAATTTCACATAGCAGCATTATGTTAACAACTATCGAATGCACCCTCTGATCTGAACTGGATATTTGACTGACTGTGGTGGTTCTAATGTCGTTTTATGGGCTTAAAACTGCATATAGTATATTCTAATAACAAAAAGTCCCTGTATTTTTGTAATATCAGAAGAGAAGTCATATTACAGCAATAGATATAACAAATATTTTTCATAGCGATTTTTTGGGAAAGAATGTGCCCAATGTACAGAAAAGGCACCCTCTTCTTGCATCACTTTTCTTATTTGCTCACTATGACACAATTTATGGAGAGAAACATAAAATGAGCCTGATTCTGATCTTTCACCAGTTTAGCACCGGTGCACATCCATTGACTTCTTTAACATTCTGGCATATTCTGGCATGAGATCAGAATCGGGCGCGCTGAGTCTCATTGCTCTTCTCTCCTTCTATCCTACAACACTTGTCTTTAAATGTACACTGTCAGCTAGAAATACAGATAATTTGAAAATGTGAGTAAAATAGTTTCAGGTCCTACACCTGTTTGCGAGTTACTCAGCCAACTGTTGTGGAATTTTGATCATGTTCTTGCTCTTTTCAAATGCTTTCTCTACCATGTTGCTGTGAGAAAGCCCAAATAGAGGCAAAAGGGGTGGGTGGATGGGTGAGTGACTGTCCACGGAAGTGCAGTCACATGTTCAAAGTAAATGAACTAAACAGATAAAGAATTGCATTTTCTCTTTCTCTCAACTTAAGTATTATTTGTTTAAAAGAATTCAGGCATTTGGGAATTCTACATCAACGTCCTAGTAAGTCTTTGCCATAAATAATTTCTATGAGATGTGGACAATCTTATGTTTTAGTAGTATTGAGTTACATGCTAGGCCCCAGTATCAGTTTGCCATGTCAAAGTATTTGTTTCCCTGTGTTTAATTGATTTTTTTTTCTCTTTAGCCACTATGGGTGCGACTATTTTTTTGGAAGCAGGTGGCTGAGAAAATTCCTGTAACACCAAAACAGTTTCGTATTTTAAATCCAATCATCATTAAAGAGACAGCCTTGGATATACTACAGTACCCTGAGCCTCGATCTAAATTTTGGGGCTGGGATAAGGTAAGATACCTTTTTTGGAAGGTGCTGGATAGATGCATTTAACTCCTTCGAAATCTAATACGACAAGATCAAATAAAAAAGAGTTTGGACTTTTCATTCAGTGTAGTCTCTTTGTGCAATTTCTCAGTCATTGTAAAACACCAAAGTCTTCTCTTCTCAAACACTATTTGTATTTTCTTTAACATTCCCTATTAGATATTTGTAAAATAGTGGGGTTTCAGCGTTCTCGTTAATCATAGAAAAAGTACAAAATCTAGGGCCATTTTAGTTTTTAATTTAGGGGTTAGGCTTGTTTATGTTCACGTAAGGTGACCTGCATGTGATTTTTTTTTAAATACCCCAAAGTTTTAAAAAGAAAGTACTTCTGTGAAAGCATTAAGG